ATGATGATGAAAGTATTTTCTTTTTGGGGATTTTCTTTCTTTTTTGGGTCACCCTGCCTCGGTGGGAGACGGCCGACTTGTTGAAAAAAAAAAAAAAAAAAAATGTATGTGTAGTGTGACCTAAGTGTAAGTAGAAGTAGCAAGACATGCCTGTAATCTTGCATATTTATGAGACAGACAAAAGACATCAGCAATCCTACCATCATGTAAAACAATCACAGGCTTTCGTTTTACACTCACTTGGCAGGACGGTAGTACCTCCCTGGGTGGTTGCTGTCTACCAACCTACTACATACATGTTCTTTCTTTCTTTCAACACACCGGCCGTATCCCACCGAGGCGGGGTGGCCCAAAAGGAAAAACGAAAGTTTCTCCTTTTACATTTAGTAATATATACAGGAGAAGAGGTTACTAGCCCCTTGCTCCCGGCATTTTAGTTGCCTCTTACAACACGCATGGCTTACGGAGGAAGAATTCTGTTCCACTTCCCCATGGAGATAAGAGGAAATAAACAAGAATAAGAACTAGAAAGAAAATAGAAGAAAACCCAGAGGGGTGTGTATATATGTGCTTGTACATGTATGTGTAGTGTGACCTAAGTGTAAGTAGAAGTAGCAAGACGTACCTGAAATCTTGCATATTTATGAGACAGACAAAAGACATCAGCAATCCTACCATCATGTAAAACAATCACAGGCTTTCGTTTTACACTCACTTGGCAGGACGGTAGTACCTCCCTGGGTGGTTGCTGTCTACCAACCTACTACATACATGTACAAGCATATATATACACACCCCTCTGGGTTTTCTTTCTAGTTTTTGTCCTTGTTTATTTCCTCTTACCTCCATGGGGAAGTGGAACAGAATTCTTCCTCCGTAAGCCATGCGTGTTGTAAGAGGCGACTAAAATGCCAGGAGCAAGGAGCTAGTAACCCCTTCTCCTGTATATATTACTAAGTGTAAAAGGAGAAACTTTCGTTTTTCCTTTTGGGCCACTCTGCCTCAGTGGGATACGGCCGGTGTGTTGAAAGAAGAAGAATAATTATACCAGCTCTAGGTAGTAGGTTGGTAGACAGCAACCGCACATGGAGGTACTACCATCCTGCCAAGCGAGTGTAAAACGAAAGCCTTTAATTGTTTTACGTGATGGTAGGATTGCTGGCGTCCTTTTTTCTGTCTTATAAACATGCAAGTTTTCAGGTACGTCTTGCTACTTCTACTTACACTTAGGTCACACTACACATACATGTACAAGCATATATATACAACCCTCTGGGTTTTCTTCTATTTTTCTTTCTAGTTCTTGTTCTTGTTTATTTCCTCTTATCACCATGGGAAAGTGGAACATTATTCTTCCTCCATAAGCCATGCGTGTTGTAAGAGGCTACTAAAATGCCAGGAGCAAGAGGCTAGTAACCCCTTCTCCTGTATGAATTACTAAATTTAAAAAGAGAGACTTTCGTTCTTCTTTTTGGGCCACCCTGCCTTAGTGGGATATGACCGGTTTGTTGAAAGAAGAAGAATTATACCAGCTTAATTTACCCAAAATATATTTCAAGTAATTACATTTACTGACAAACAGCCATCAGAGAAAGCCTGGAAAATATGAAATATAAAAAGAAACCACCAAGGATATGTACAGTGCATGCAAAAAAAATCTATACATTAACAAAAAATGCAACTTACTGTATGCACATGTATTTTTTTTCACTTTTAGCTTCCAACTAGTACTTGGTCATGTTGCCCTTGTTCTTTATCACCAATTGAAGTCGCCTAGGTGCTGAAGCGGTGAGGGCGGAGAAGAAGGAAGCATCCATGTTGATCCAAAGCTTCTTCAGTACTTCCTTCAAGTCCGTGATATTGTTGGGTCGAGCTTTTGCAATCTCATTTTTCATCATATGCCAGGCATTCTCAATTGGATTAAAGTCAGGTGAACTGCCTGGTCACTCCAAAAAACTGATATTATTGTCCTCGAGGAACTTTTTCACTGCTTTTGAATTATGGGCAGGGGCACCATCATGCATAAAAAAATCACACTTGTGAATGTTCCAAAATGTCAGCATGTGGTCCCTTAACTCCTCGATATAATTACTTCCCTTTACTGTAATGTTCTTAGGAAGGAAGTATAGTCCACCCCTACCCTTATAATCACTAAAAGCACCCCAGACCATTACACTGTCAGGGTGCTTCTCTGTCTTCACAGCGTACTGAGGGTCATAACGGGACACACCACTGGGACGACGGATGGTTATGGAGCTGCTCCTGACGAGTCTGAAGGTACTCTCATCACTGAACATCACCTTCTGCCACTGGTCTGGGGTCCAATCCTTGTACTTCTTGCAGAACTGAAGCTATTTCTTCTTCATGGCTTCAGATAGCATGGGCTTCTTGACAGCACATCACGCAGGCATTTTAGGTCCTTTTGCAGTTGGTGCTGAATGGTTCACACTGCGCCGTCTTTCAGGAGCACAGGATGCTTTTTCTTGAGGTCTGCAGCTGTTATGGCAGGATCAGATAACGCTTCTCTCTTCAGCATTTTGTCTGTATGAAGAGAAGTCTTTTTGGGGGCCCCAGAGCGACCTTCCTAGGTGGTACTGAGAAAGGCTGCTGCTTTCTTGAGGTTGTAAATTGCCATCCTCGTCACCTTCAGGTCTGCGGCTACGCGTATCACAGACATGCTCTGCACTAATAGGGCGAGTGCAAGGGGCTCCTCAGCAATTGAAAGTTTAGTTCGACCCATTCTAACCACTTGGAGTGGAGATATAGTGTGGCAAAGTTCATGGTCGAGTGAAAAAGAGGGGCACTGAGGAACAACATAGCAGGTCTCCTTCCTCACCGAGCTCTGGCAGAGCGCTGAAGCATGGCATGGTGAGGAACAATGGAGCAAGACTGGCTCCAGTACACTAAGTCATCAGAAGCACTGCCCATTTTTCATATGGCGGAAACCCAAGTGAAATGTATGCACCAAAATCTCGTGTATAGATTTTTTTTACACTGGAAATGTATAATATTTTTTGCAGGCACTGTACAGTAGCGCTACAATGATAGTGTTATTATACGATTAGAAAAGCTCTGATTGCAACGTATTTATGTACTGAAGAATTCTAAATGCATTCCAACCATACTTTCACGAAACTACAAATGCCACCTGTTTCAAAGGGAATTATTGCTATAGGTTTGTGTAACCTAACCTAACCTAACCCAACCCAACTTAACCTAACTTAAAGTAACCTAATTTATAATAAAAAAGACAGCACTTGAGAAAAAACAGGAAGCATCAAGTATCACTGAGTACCACATCAAAAACCTGATGTAGCAAAATGAGAATGGGTTGGCTTAAGTAGGTTTACCTGCAAAAGCTGAGATCCTACGTAAAATTCTAATTCTTTTTAAATGATTTCAAAATTTAATATCAAGTGGAGCAAGTATTACTAGACTCATGACAAAGTATGTTCTTGGAAATCAACATGTATGATTTGAGGCAGAAAATTTTAAATTTTTCTAATTTATCTGGACCATGAGTATGACCTTGAAAAACAGAAATCATTAACCCTTCGACTGTTTAGGTCGTATATATATATATGTCTTATGAGCCAGTGTTTCAGACGTATTAATATGCATAAATTCTAGCGGCTTCAAATCAAGCAGGAGAAAGATGGCAGGCCCACATGTGAGAGAATGGGTTTGTGTGGTCATTGTGCACCACATAAAAAAAATCCTGTAGCACGCAGTGCATAATGAGAAAAAAAAAACTGACCATTTTTTGGATTAAAATGCCAAATTTGAGGTGTATTTTCGTATAGTATTTAACGTTGTATTCTCGTTTTCATGGTCTCAGGTGATAAAATGGAAAACACATTACAGAAATAGAGAAGATTTTGATTCGTTTCACGATGAAAACGACCTTGAAATTGAGCTCAATGTAGTGGAAATGTTCGATTTTTACCAATGTTCAGGAGTAAGCAAATCACACCACACGTCCAATACACATAAACTGGGGAGTCTGATATTCTTTCACTAGTGCACTGATATTATTTATACCATTTTTACAATAATGCAGTAGGCTGCATAACAGTAAATTTTGTATTTTTTGTATGAATAAAAGATCAAAATAGAAAGCAATAGAGATGTGACTAATGAACAGAGGATATGTTATTTTAGTGCCAAAAATGTCTACATTGTTTATCCTGGACCCTATTTTGAAATTGGCATCTTTTTTAATTTGCTTGAAATTGGCCAAATTGCCAATTTCTGACCACTTTATTCGGTAGTTCAAATCGGTAAATGGGCGGTTTCTTGTATTCAACTGATAGAAAAAATGAAGTTTAAAGAAATAGCTATGAGTTTGGTCAACTGGAAAAATGGAATTGGCCAAAAACAGGGCTCAAAGTTGGCAAAATCGCCGATGCGTACATGTCGCCAAGACTGCTAACTTCACGGGAGCGCAATTCCGTGAGTTTTCGACCAAATTTCGTACTTTTGGTGTCATTACCATCGGGAAAAGATTCTCTATCATTTCATAAGAATTTTTTTTTTCCAAAAAATTCTACGACATAGAATGACAGTTTCAAAGGGTTAAACTAGCCTGTTAGCAAAACTGCAGATGAGATTATTTATAAAAATGTCTTCCCTAGCACTACTGTGAAAATTTCTGATCTTATACTGATGAATAGGGTAAAAGAATTTCATAAACAGCTCAAAGCTGACAACTGCAAACACAGTTATGGCTGACATCGCAGAATCAAGGTACACCTTGGTATTCATTGGCATAAAACACCACATGAAATGGTGTCTGCAGATAATTAAACTGTTTAGATCATTTGCCATATTTATAAATTTACTAAAGAAATTTGTACAAGCTTCAGTGACTGGATTATGCAGATTTTTGGATCTAACACAAAGATCAAGATTCCAATCATTCTAATGACTTGTGTATCTGTTTCCAGTACCTCAGGGACTTAGTTATAAACTGTGGGTCTGTAATATTCCCTGAACCTTACCAATTCTGTACATAAGATCAAGCAACATCTCTGGGTCCTCTTGATATTCCTTCATCTTCACAGTATCTGACAGAATCATGTGTAAATTGAAGACTAGATCACGAACCTGCAAGAGAGCCGGTTATTACCAGTGTACATTTATTTTATATTTTGATATTAGACTAATACGACTTTGCCAAACCTTTTCCAGTAATTATCACTTATACCAGATTTCAAGAAATTCCACAGAAAACCAAGATAAAATCATTATATAAATTTATGACTAGAAATCAACAGATACTAGAGATGGATCGACTGTCCATCTCTCTCTCCTTTGATCTTCATAGTTAATTAAAGTCTGCATGGCTTCATTCACTGTACACAGATCATTTTGTTTAACAATAGTTTCAATAAACAAGCTGTGATTTTTTCCATACAGGTCCACATCCCTTTATCCAAAACACTTGGGACCAGCATTGTTCCAAATTTCAGACTTTTTTGAATTTCAGAATTGCTTTCAGTGCCACCGTGTGGTGGCACGACCCAGCACTGAGATGACTGACACTCCACACTCCATGAAAAAACTTCAGTTTTTGGAACTTTTCAAATTTCCGAATTTCGTATAAAGGGATGTGGACCTGTATTATCAGGCTGAACATCTACAATTTATAAAATAACTTACCAGAAGGAATAAAAAATTATATGACAATGTGGATGATAAAAGAAATCCTATGGAAAATAAGTAATAAAAATAATTGTAAATTTTAATAAGATTTTGATACATAAACTAAATGGGGTGACAGGCAAATGGTAAAATTAGGGGGCCAAGTTTCTCTTAATTTGCCATGAAATTACCAGTACATCACAGTGATCAGAATCCATGATGTATTAGTATACATGATTCATGGCACCTTCAAATTTGCTGTCAGTAGCTAATTTTGGCCTAGACATGAAAGATTGGGTTTACGTGGTGGTTGTGTTAATACAAAAAAATCCTGCTCCACACAGTGCATGATGCAAATAGCTAACCTCTGACTGTGTCTGGGTTGAAATGGTGACTTTGGGGTGATTGCTTTAGTATTCCTTCAAGACTATGCACAATATTTAAAAGGTTAAGATATTAAGTAAGCAGTATAATAAGACAGAACCAAGAGCAACTCGAACCAGTGAGTGGTGTCATGGTGCTTAAAAAGTGGAATGGCTTGGATGAAGCAATGATCAAGACAAACTTAACACAGAACTTCAAGAGTGGACATGATCATGTAGAAGAGGCCACAGATCTTTTCTAGGGTGGTTTTTCATGTTGTTTTGGCAGTTTCTTCGTGCCAATAGATAGAACAAAAGACATATTATTGACATAAGCATCAAACTGGCCAAAAATTTTTGGTGATTTTTCTTGGGAAGGGTGGGAACCCAACAACACCAGTTTTATGGATTTTTATTAGGTCAATTTTTTGTGTGACAATGGATTCAAAATGGAAGTTAAGTGTTATGCAGCAGAGGCCTCAGGACATAGTAAATGAACCATATGTTTAACACCTAGATCTACAGTATGTTTTCATGTCATATTTTACTTATATGTACTGTTCAATGACACTAAACATGTGTACTGTAAACAAAAGTAAATGCCATGTATTGGCTCTCACAATGCCCTGCACACAATACAAATTATTTTATGCAATGTACACCTATTGCACAGACCTATTATTTCTAATGTAGTCCTAACCAATCCAACAGGGACCATTTTAGAGGCTCTAGATTTTGATGCAAATTTATATCATTGGAAGTTTGCCAATTAGTGTAAATTTATGTCATCAGCAGTTTAAGAGATAAAGACTTGTATTAATCACTTTTTCTTAAGATATCTTGCTCAATAATTATCAAACTATAAACATCACCATGTCCTATGTGAGGATCAAATTTTCAAATATTCAAATTTTCAACAAGACAGTATAATACCTGTTCTGGAAAAGATGTGTCCTGTAGATCTGCATCCTCCTCAGCATACGTGAGGATGGTTTTGAGAGAGCGACGTAAATAAGCTTCATTGAAGGTCTGGGATGTTCCAACCAAGGAGCTAAGAGACATTGTCACCTGCATCTTTACTCTTGCAAAATTCTGTGAAGACAAAAAAAAAAAAATAGATATTAGTAACCTGTGGCATGTAAAAAACAATAGTTATCAAAAAAATACGCCAGTACAGTATAAATGACTTGAATTGCTTCAGTAGCTTAATTACCAAGACAAAGAAATAATGTGACAAGTCCATATCTATACCAATCAATCAAAAGGGCAGACATATTATTTTCATACACTATCTTCTCTCATTTTTTTTTTTTTTTGTATATTTACTGGGTTCCTTGGCCTCACTTGTTTTCTATTACTTCCCTCCCAACACACATACAACAATGCACACAACACAACACACAACAAATACAATGAACAAGATACACAGCAAACACAACACAAAAAACATACACACACACACAAAAAAAAAAAAAACAGGGAAAATTGGCCATGATTACCGGATGGAGACTGACTCCACCGCTCCTTGCGCTGAGTGACCCCACACAAGTTTAGACTTCATAAAATATAACAATGTAGTATTTCTTGTATTTTTCATCCCTGCCTTCCAACCCTTCCATTAGTGTAATCATGTAAATTTAGAATAATTTAAGTTTAGTGATAACCTCTTCTAAATTAATTTTAATTCTGCCTGTTGCTTAGATCATTCAAAAAATGACAAATGTAAATGCTTAAGTTTGAAAACATGTTTCGAGGAGGAGTTGCAGATACGCAGAAAATTACCGAACGAAAATTAACCAGCTTCATAGTAATTACATGTGCGTGCATGTAATTACTAAATGCATTTATCTTAAAAGACTTAGAAAGGTAAATAAACGTCAAGTTGCTGACATTTGGAAAATAACATCATGGTAAAAAAAAAAGACAGACAAAAGTTCAATGAAAAAGAAATGTGAAGATCAGTGGCATAGTTTGTTGACTTACTTATATCAATAAATTTTACCATAAAAGCAGAATGTACACATGCAAATTTAACCTTCCACAACATAATTCTATTTGACAAAGTAATGAATATATGAAATAAAATATGCAAGTAACCTGACTTACATTTCCAATTTCAAAGTTGTGTCTCATAAGAAGATAGAGTGATGCTGCAGCATGGGATCGGACAGTACAGATACAAGACGAGCAATGCTTCAACAGTTGAAGGCACAAATCTGCACACTGCTCAGTTTCTTCATCAAAAAGTAAACCTGGGAACTGTAAAACAAATACACAGTATTATCAATATAAATTCTTAAACAAATAAACAATGAACAGAGTAATACAGAGGCATTTTTAACTCTAAAGACATATTTTTCATACTATTTGCCTTTATTAAACCCATATTAAATTTTCAGTCATGAAAAAAAACACTTGAAATTAGGCTCTAAATATACTACATAAGGATACGGATGTATCAAGTGGGTGACCTTAGCAACCAATGCTCGCTGAGTATTGAACATATTGGTAAGTGTAGATGTTGACTGATTGGAGGCGAGAGCATGAAGCAATACTCGAAACACAACAGGGAGTAGCCCTTGCAAGTGATCTGCATTTGTTACAACCTGGAAACAAGGGATAAAAAAATTAGAGCAAAGTAATAGTAGTAGTAGTATTTAGGAGGTAGATCAAACCATGATCTACTGACATTTAAAGTGGGGTGGATCTCTAGTACAGGTATGACCTATTCATTGTTTAGCCAATGAGTAGGTCATCCAGTGACAGACTTATATCTGGGGATGTTTTTTCCAGAAAGTCACCACCATCTACAAGTAATACAGTAATGTAGCTCTTCTACAAGTGATGCCACATTTCTAAGACTGACTTTTATCACTTTAAAAAATACAATAGTTGCAAATTATTAGCATGATTAAAATTGAAAAATAAAAACTGTTAGCTCTCTTGCAAAAAAAGGCATGAAAACTGGGAGAAATTAATAAATGGTTTCAAAGCAAATAAGAAGAAAGAAAAATTGGTGTTAGGATTTTTGAGAGCAAAATAAATTTTTTTTTTTATCTCAGTGGAGAGATTAGATCCACATAATTAAACCCTTTCGCTTGCTATGCCATAGTACTACAACTTTGAGGTCACTGTCAGTGCCGTGGTACTACATCATGAGCTCAGCTCACTCAGATAAGCTGTGAGTGGTAAATTTGGGCCTAGATACAAGAGAATGGGTCTGTGATAAGTGTGCACCAAATAAAAAAAATCCTGCGGATGCAGTGCATGAGAAAAAACTGCGACTGTGTTTTTGGTTATAAATAGCAAATTTGTGGTGTATTTTCATAAGGTCTTTATGGTTGTATTCTCGGTTTCTTTCTTATTTGACAGAATGGAAGATGTATTACAGAAATAGAAATGGTTCTGAATGGTTTCAGGATTTAAAATAGCTTGAAATTGAGATCAAAGTAGAGGAAATGCTAGATTTTTGCCGATATTCAAGAGTAAACAAATCGCGTCACTCATCCAATACACGTCCAACTGGTGAGTCTAATATGCATTCATGAATGCCCTGATATTATTTATACAATCATTACAATACTGCATAACAATAAATCTTCTACTTTTTGTGAATAAAAAATAAAAATAAAATTCGTGTGTAAACTTTCCTAAGACAACCCCTCCCTTGCCTTCCTTTCGATACAGATTTTTTTTTTTTTTTCAACAAGTTGGCTGTCTCCCACCAAGGCAAGGTGACCCAAAAAAGAAAGAAAATCCCCAAAAAGAAAATACTTTCATCATCATTCAACACTTTCACCACACTCACACATTATCACTGCTTTTGCAGAGGTGCTCAGAATACAACAGCTTAGAAGCATATACGTATAAAGATACACAACATATCCCTCCAAACTGCCAATATCCCAAATCCCTCCTTTAAAGTGCAGGCATTGTACTTCCCATTTCCAGGACTCAAGTCCGACTATATGAACATAACCGGTTTCCCTGAATCCCTTCACTAAATATTACCCTGCTCACACTCCAACAGATCGTCAGGTCCCAAGTATCATTCGCCTCCATTCACTCCTATCTAACACGCTCATGCACGCTTGCTGGAAGTCCAAGCCCCTAGCCCACAAAACCTCCTTTACCCCCTCTTTCCAACCCTTTCGAGGACGACCCCTACTCCTCCTTCCTTCCCCTATAGATTTATATGCTTGCCATGTCATTCTACCTTGATCCATTCTCTCTAAATGACCAAACCACCTCAACAACCCCTCTTCTGCCCTCTGACTAATGCTTTTATTAACTCTACACCTTCTCCTAATTTCCACACTCCGAATTTTCTACATAATATTTACACCACACATTGCACTTACACAGGACATCTCCACTGCCTCCAACCGTCCCCTCGCTGCTGCATTTACCACCCAAGCTTCACATCCATATAAGAGTGTTGGTACTACTATACTTTCATACATTCCCTTCTTTGCCTCCATAGATAACGTTTTTTGACTCCACATATACCTCAACGCACCACTCACCTTTTTTCCCTCATCAATTCTATGACTAACCTCATCCTTCATAAATCCATCCGCTGACACGTCAACTCCCAAGTATCTGAAAACATTCACTTCTTCCATACTCCTCCTCCCCAATTTTATATCCAATTTTTCTTTATCTAAATCATTTGATACCCTCATCACCTTACTCTTTTCTATGTTCACTTTCAACTTTCTACCTTTACACACATTCTCAAACTCATCCACTAACCTTTGCAATTTTTCTTTAGAATCTCCCATAAGCACAGTATCATCAGCAAAAAGTAACTGTGTCAATTCCCATTTTGAATTTGATTCCCCATAATTTAATCCCACCCCTCTCCCAAACACCCTAGCATTTACTTCCTTTACAACCCCATCTATAAATATATTAAACAACCATGGTGACATTACACATCCCTGTCTAAGACCTACTTTTACCGGGAAGTATTCTCCCTCTCTTCTACACACACCCTAACCTGAGCCTCACTATCCTCATAAAAGCTCTTTACAGCATTTAGTAACTTACCACCATTCCATATACTTGCAACATCTGCCACATTGCTCCTCTATCCACTCTATCATATGCCTTTTCTAAATCCATAAATGCAATAAAAACTTCCCTACCTTTATCTAAATACTGTTCACATATATGCTTCAATGTAAACACTTGATCTACACATCCCCTACCCACTCTGAAGCCTCCCTGCTCATCCACAATCCTACATTCTGTCTTACCTCTAATTCTTTCAATTATAACCCTACCGTATACTTTTCCTGGTATACTCAGTAAACTTATTCCTCTATAATTTTTACAATCTCTTTTGTCCCCTTTCCCTTTATATAAAGGGACTATACATGCTCTCTGCCAATCCCTAGGTACCATCCCTCTTTCATACATTTATTAAACAAAAGTACCAACCACTCCAACACTATATCCCCCCCTGCTTTTAACATTTCTGTCATGATCCCATCAGTTCCAGCTGCTTTACCCCCTTTCATTCTACGTAATGCCTCATGTATCTCCACCACACTTACATTCTGCTCTTCTTCACTCCTAAAAGATGGTATACCTCCCTGGCCAGTGCATGAAATTACCGCCTCCCTTTCTTCCTCAACATTTAAAAGTTCCTCAAAATATTCTCGCCATCTACCTAATACCTCCCTCTCCCCATCTACTAACTCCCCTACTCTGTTTTTAACTGAGAAATCCATACTTTCCCTAGGCTTTCTTAACTTGTTTAACTCACTCCAAAAATTTTTCTTATTTTCATTAAAATTTCTTGACAGTGCCTCTCCCACTCTTTCATCTGCTCTCCTTTTGCATTCTCTCACCACTCTCTTCACCTTTCTTTTACTCTCCATATACTCTGCTCTTCTTATAACACTTCTGCTTTGTAAAAACCTCTCGTAAGCTACCTTTTTCTCTTTTATCACACCCTTTACTTCATCATTCCACCAATCACTCCTCTTTCCTCCTGCCCCCACCCTCCTATAACCACAAACTTCTGCCCCACATTCTAATACTGCATTTTTAAAACTATTCCAACCCTCTTCAACCCTCCCACTACTCATCTTTGCACTAGCCCACCTTTCTGCCTGTAGTCGCTTATATCTCGCCCGAACTTCCTCCTCCCTTAGTTTATACACTTTCACCTCCCTCTTACTTGTTGTTGCCACCTTCCTCTTTTCCCATCTACCTCTTACTCTAACTGTAGCTACAACTAAATAATGATCAGATATATCAATTGCCCCTCTATAAACATGTACATCTTGGAGCCTACCCATCAACCTTTTATCCACCAATACATAATCTAACAAACTACTTTCATTACGTGCTACATCATACCTTGTATATTTATTTATCCTCTTTTTCATAAAATATCTATTACTTATTACCAAATTTCTTTCTACACATAGCTCAATTAAAGGCTCCCCATTTACATTTACCCCTGGCATCCCAAATTTACCTACTACTCCCTCTATAACATTTTTACCCACTTTAGCATTGAAATCCCCAACCACCATTACTCTCACACTTGATTCAAAACTCTCCATGCATTCACTCAACATTTCCCAGAATCTCTCTCTCTCCTCTACACTTCTCTCTTCTCCAGGTGCATACACGCTTACTATAACCCACTTTTCACATCCAATCTTTATTTTACTCCACATAATCCTTGAATTTATACATTTGTAGTCCCTCTTTTCCTGCCATAGCTTATCCTTCAACATTATTGCTACTCCTTCTTTAGCTCTAACTCTATTTGAAACCCCTGACCTAATCCCATTTATTCCTCTCCATTGAAACTCTCCCACCCCCTTCAGCTTTGTTTCACTTAAAGCCAGGACATCCAGTTTCTTCTCATTCATAACATCCACAATCATCTCTTTCTTATCATTTGCAGTTGTATTTATCATGTGGGAGTTCGACACGTGGATTAGGTAAGAAATACTCACGTAGGCTGGTATTACGTATAATTACAGATAAGGTGGATAACGCCCTTACAGCCGTGACCTGCCTCCTTGCTCACTCTCGTATCACTGACTGACTGCCTGGCCGCCCAGTACCCATATGTGAGAGGGTCTTATGCCAGGTCAACACAATATGAATATATGAATAGACAGTGACTCAGGCAGAGACGGTTGGTCGTGAGTCAACTGGCACAGTGGTTACTGGTAACTGGTTACTACTACTGAGAGCTCGGCGACGCTAACGTATGTCGTCCCGACATACAACTAATACAAACTAGAGAGGGCAGTATACGGCTTGGCTGATTCTATACAATGTCAAAGTAGACAACAATTAAACATTATAACATACATAAGTAGAACATTGGAATGGAAGCTTACGTAACTGAAACTGTAATGCAATACAAGGTATAATATAGCACAACTTAAACTCAACAAATGAACAACGAACTCAACGTTGAGATTACAAGTGATAAAAAAAAATTTTGATCGATCGATCTGTATTCATGTGATCTACGGATTCTGAGGAAGGAATATATACAAAGAAAGAGTGTTTAACAGAAAGGCAGATTCGGTGCACTCAAATCTAGACTGTTAACTCTCAGAATGTGGAGAGAACATGAACACAAAAAAAAAAACTTCTTGAATACTGATAAGTTGATACTGTAATTATTCATCTATACAGGTTATTTACATTTAACCCCAACTCTGCTAGGGTGAGATTGACATATGCAGAATGGGTGTCATCTCTGGGAGGATCAAACTCTGTAGCATTGGCTAACTCATGCTGTATTTGAGGCAAATCTGAATTAGAAGTTACAAATGATATTTGAGGATTTCTCAATACCTGTCGTGTACGTAGGGAATAACGACATTCAGGTTGATCGTCTGACTGAGTATCAGAGGAAGAGAGTACAGGATCAGGAGGATTGTCAGAGTCTGTCACATTAGTCTGGGTTGGAACATCATTATCATCACATACTAACTTCATATGATCTAAATGCGATTCTTTATACTGACCAGTACTAATCTCTCTAACCTTATACTTATTACCAGTGATATGTTCAACTACTCGATAAGGACCAACAAACTTTTGATCAAGCTTTGGCATTGCAGACGTTTTGTTAAAGTTAATCAGCATAACTCTCGAACCTACTTTGATTTTGGATGGCTTTGCTCGAGTGTTTGCGACTCTTGTAAATTCAGCTGTTGATTTATGAAGTGTTTCACGGATTCTTCTAAAAACACTTTGAGCTAAGCTGGTACGAGTTGCTATGAAATCATCAGGGTTGTAATTTGGTTTCGGATTAGAATATAACAACTCATAAGGCAAACGTTTATCTACACCATACAATGCATAATGTGGAGTGTCACCTATAGAAACATTGTAAGCAGAATTTATAGCACACTGCACATCAGGTATAACTTCATCCCAAGTTTCACTGTTGGGATTGATAGTGGCTCTCAAGACAACAAGTACTTTCTTATTGGTTCGTTCCGCTAACCCATTGCTGGCAGGATGATGAGGAACAATGGTGGATTTAGAGATCTTGTACAAGGTACACAAATTTTCAAGAATTTCATTACAGAATTCACCTCCATTATCTGTTACTAGGGACAGGCTGACTGGCGTTCACTTCCACAGTCTGGCTTACTGACTGGCTTAATTGCAAAATCCGGGTCAACCCCTCGGAGATTGAGCAATTAGCACTAAGCCAGGAAGCTTGAAACTGCTGCAACAGGCTTGCAGGCTGGAGGTAGTGAGTGAGGGTAAGCGGCTGGCTGGAGGTTCACCTTTGACCCTGCCGGCTACTCACAAACAGACTTCTAACGTCTTGAATTACTCGTAAAAACTAAATCCACGCTCCACACCGGTGCCACCATTTATCATGTGGGAGTTCGACACGTGGATTAGGTAAGAAATACTCACGTAGGCTGGTATTACGTATAATTACAGATAAGGTGGATAACGCCCTTACAGCCGTGACCTGCCTCCTTGCTCACTCTCGTATCACTGACTGACTGCCTGGCCGCCCAGTACCCATATGTGAGAGGGTCTTATGCCAGGTCAGCACAATATGAATATATGAATAGACAGTGACTCAGGCAGAGACGGTTGGTCGTGAGTCAACTGGCACAGTGGTTACTGGTAACTGGTTACTACTACTGAGACAACATCCACGCACATTCAGATTTCCCACTTTGACAATTTTCTTCTTCTTATTTTTTTTAGTAATCTTTACAGGAAAAGAGGTTACTAGCCCATTGTTCCCGGCATTTTAGTTGACTTTTACAACACGCATGGCTTACGGAGGAAAGATTCTTATTCCACTTCCCCATGGATATAAAAGGAAAAGTAATAAGACCAAGAACTATTAAGATAAAATCAAAGAAAACTCAGATGAGTGTGTATAAATAAACATGTACATGTATGTGTAGTGTGACCTAAGTGTAAGTAGAAGTAGCAAGACATGCCTGTAATCTTGCATATTTATGAGACAGACAAAAGACACCAGATTTATACACCCTCCAAATCATTCTATTTTGTTCCATCCTCTCTAAATGTAAAAACCATCTCAATCCCTCCTCAGCCCTGTGGATAATACTTATAGAAACCCTGCATGCATGTCCTTTTAATCTCTAAACTACAGATTCTCTGCATAATATTCGCCCTATACATTACACTCTCAGACACATTTCCACTGCCTCCAGCCATCTCCGTGTTACAACATTCACCACCCATGCTTCACATCCAGATAAAAGCACTGGTACCACTATACTCTCATACATTTTCTTCTTTGCCTCCATGGATAACATTCTTTGTCTCCATAAATGCCACAATGAACCACCCACCTTTTCCTCCATCATTTCCATGGTTTACGTCGTCCTTCGTAAACCCATCCAGAACCCACTATTTGTCTGCTAATTTAACTGGCTAAAAATTTAATTGTGATCACTGTTTGTGACCACCTAAAGGTCAAGTTCCCATTTCATCTCGGTCAACAGGTTACCTAATACAATATAACCATTGTTTAACACTGCTGTAGTCAGTGTTAATTCACAATTTGTTTTATACATGGCAGTTCATTTTCCCCATGTTAGACCACAGACCCAAATGAAATAGCCTGGCATTAAGCACACAAGATGAAAAGTAATGAAATAAATGTGAATTATATTAGAAAATAAGAAGTATACCTGGAAGTAACAAGTAATGTCTACTAACAGTTCATATTTAAAATAAAACTATGTACATTATCTTACAACTCAAAGCTATATGAAACTTGCCTGAACTATGTTCTCCAAAGTATCTAGAATAACCATATTAGCTTCAGCCGCCAGGTGGCCCTCAACCTGAGACTCCTGCTCTAACTCATGTTGTGGCGAGCGGTCAGTGTCCTGTTGATGGTGACGCCAGGGAAAGGATTCTTTACGCCAGCGAAGCTTTTCTCCGGTTCCGGACGGTGAAGGGGGATTACGCTCTATTGGTCAAAATAATTACCATTAAAATTTTATGAAAATGAGATATAAATAATTAACCTCTAGAATTATTTGTCTCTGTAACAGCTAAAGTAAAAACTCTACAATAACTAATTTAGATTACAATAAAAAAATTGTTTAATTGAAATTGTAAAAAATTCAACAATTGGAATTGTAGTCAAATAAAGGAAACCACAAAAAAAATTCTGCACTGGCCAAAAAAAAAAAAAAAAAATCTTTTGACTGAACCATAATCCATGTAATGTGATTGTACCAAAAACCATCAGGTATAAAATATTATGAATAGCAAAAGTACATAAAACAAAACATGAAGAAAATTAAAAAAACATAATGGTGATGTAGTACACCTTTACACAGTAACTCAAACCTGCTGATAAAAAATGGATTAAATAATCAGTAAAAATAAAACTACACTGAGGCAACAAATTAAAAATAAATAAAATATTTGCAATAAATGTACAATATATGCCTTGTATGCATATACACATATAAATACCGTAAATATATATATTTATTTTTAATGCGATGGCTGTTTCCCACAAAGGTAAAATAACCCGAAAAAAGAAACACTTTCACCATCATTCAAACTATCATTGTCTTGGCAAGGGTTCACAGATATGACAATTTAGATGAAACTCTAAACAGCAAATATTCCAAACCCCTCCTTTAAAGCGCAGGCATTGTACTTTCCACCTCCAGGGCTCAAATCCGGCTAACCAGTTTCCCTGAATCCCTTCACAAAATATTACCCTGCTCACTCAACAGCTCATCAAGTCCCAACAACCATTTGTCTCCACTCCTAATACACATACACATGCCTGCTGTATGTCCAAGCCAATTGCACACACAACTTCCTTTACCCCCTCCCTCCAGCCTTTCCTAGGACGATGCCTACCCCTCCTCCCCTCCACTACAGACTCATACACCCTCCAAGTCATTCTTTTTTGCTCCAGCCTCTCTAAATGATCAAACCACCTCAACAACCCCTCTTCAGTCCTCTGAATAATGCTTTTAGTAAACACCTCCTCCTAATTTCCACACTACAAATTCTGTGTGTAAAGGTTATACCACACACTGCCTTTAGACACGCCCCCTCCACTGCCTCCAGCCTCCTCCTCACTGCAGCATTTACAACCTATGCTTCATACCCATATAAGAATATTGGTACCACTATACTCTTGTACATTCCCTTCTTTGCCTCCATGGATAATATTTTTTGTCTCCACATACACCTTAATGTACCACTCACCATTTTTCCTTCATCAGTTCTATTGTTAACCTTGTCCTTCATACACCCATCTGCCAGCAAATCTACTCCCAAATATCTGAACACATTCACTTCTTTCATACTCCCTCCCTCCCATGCAATATCCAATTTTTCTTTACCAAACTCATTTGATACCTTGATCACCTTACTCTTATCTATGTTCACTTTCAAGCTTCTTCCTTTACACACCCTCCCAAACTCGTCCACTAACCTTTGCTGGGAACTACAAGACCACATATCTCACAGTACCACTGCTCAGTGCCAACTACAAGATTGTTTGGCACAGTGCTATGACAATGCTGTTGTATGGCTGGACATAGAAATGATCATCAAAGAATACATGAGAAAACAACCTGGCAGTTTGTGAATTGTGATAATCACTTGCTCAACTTGGTGGGTGTACATGCAGCCAAGCAGGAGACAATGATGGTTATGTTTTTGGAACCATCAAAGCTCTCTACGTGTTCTTCTCTCATTTAACCCTTTCAGTGTCACAACCCCTGCTCGCAAATTTGTTCTTAGGGTCGAAGAATATAAAAAAAAATTCTTATGAAATGGAAGAGAATCTTTTTCCAAAGGTAATGAAAACCACAAGTACCAAATTTGATGGAAAACTTACGGAATTACATTCTTGCAAAGTTAGAAGTCTTGGCAACATTTATACACTAGCAATTTTGCCCAATTTGAGCCCTATTTTTGGCCAATTCCATTGTTCCAGTCAACCAAAGTCATAGCTATTTTGCTAGTATTCCTTTTATTCTATTGACTGAGTACAAGAAACCACCCATTTACCTATTTCATCTACCTAATAAAGTGATCAGAAATTGGCAATTTGGCCAATTTCACATAAAATTCAAGAAAGGCCAATTTCAAAATAGGGTCCAGAATAAACAGTGCAGACATTTATGGCACTAAAATAACATTTTTCTCTGTTCATTAGTCATGTCTCTAAGCCCCTCTTATATTATGCTTGCTTTCCATTTTGAATAGAAGATTTACTGTTATACAGACTACTGCATTACTGTAATAACTGTATAAATAATATAAGTGCACTTGTAAATGCATATCAGACCCACCAGCTGACATACGTGTATTGGACGTGCGACGTGATTTGTTTACTCTTGAATACAACCTCTCCTCACTTAGTGACGTACTCGTTTACCACTGATTCGGACTTACAACTGGCTCTCTGACCAGTATGCATACCTACATAATGTATATTAGAGCTGATTTCCCCTATTCTGTTTATTACAATTACTGTACAAACATCTAAAAATATACCTGAATTGTTATAAATGGTGCAAAGGTGACATAATATGAAAGATGGTTGACACAAACCCACTATCATTATAGTATGCTCCTTCATTTACTGACGTGGTCCTAGGAATGGAACGCCATTGTTAAGTGCAGAGAGGCTGTACAGTGGAATCTCGGTACTCTAACTTAATTCATTCCAGAAGGCTGTTCGAGTGCTGATCTGTAAGAGTATCGAATGAATTTTTCCCAACCAATTTTCTTTTTGGTCGGCTGTTATTACTAGTCTTCATAGGCCCTTGCAGGATCCTAGCATGAACTTTCACAATACTGCCCTGGATTTGAAAAGTCCTCCGAGATCATTTTCATGATGAAAGAGAAGTGTTGGTCAGTGAGTCACTCGAAGGAGGACTCAATCTGTCAAGAATGGAATACTGAAGTTGAAAGACGTCAGAGACGAAAGCAATGAATGGCTGATGAGAGCTCGACAGACACTGGGTTAACAGCCAAGGATGAAATGGAAAGAGTCATGAAGGGAACATTTGTCCATCTTCACAGAGAAATGGATAAAAGGTTTGCTTGCTTGCATGACACTGATGCCAAGTTTGGGTTCTTCTCAATGTTGAGGGACTGTGTTATGGTGCCAACAGTAACAACCTAAATAAGAAGTGCAAACATTTGGGTTAATTGTATAGATCTAATGTTGAAGGACAACAGTTATATGAAGAAATTTTGGATTGCAGAAAGTTACTATCAAATCAGGCCAATATTAAAATATCAAGATTTGAAGACCTTCTCGAATTTATTGTTCGGGATGGAAATGAGAGTGTCTTCCCAATCTTCGCAATGCTATTCAGATAATGCTAACCATCGCAGTTTCCATCGCCAGCTCTGAGAAATCATTCAGCAAGTTAAAACTAATGCTCTCGTATTTGAGAGCCTCCCTGGGTCAAGGCAGACTCTGTGATCTTGCTCTACTGAGTGCAGAAAGAGAAGAAACTGAAAAAAAATGAATTTGAACACATCATAGACCAATTTGCATCAGTGTAAACAAAGGTGCAGTTGTCATTTTCATGTAGTGTCATAATTTGTTAATTAAAAGATTAACAAGCTAGACTTGTATTTTTGAGCTGGTAAAGTTATCTAAAAGACGGGTGTCAGATGTTTGGGCAGGGATGCAATTTCAGTGCTTGTTATTTTCCATAGATACACCCCAGCATTTTTGGCAATTGTATAATTATTAAACATATACTGCTGCAGTCTTCCTTTTACACCTTCATTGCTATCAATACTTAGTGCTTCTTTAATACTAGAATGAATTTATACACTGATTCAATATATCACTGTAAATCATGATTTCTATGGAAAAACAGCAAAGAATATCCTCTCACAGCACTAAACCATTGCTTAAAATTGTAAAAACTCCCATCATAGGAGGTCAACACCCTCGTATCAGGGCATAAGCATTGCATACAAAAACTTATCAACCTCATCTTAAAAATTCTGAGATTTACTCTTTCATAATGAACTTCCAGAAAGAAGAAACTCTGGATTCATACTGGCCATTACTGTAACCTAAAGAACTTATATATTTCAATTCCAGCAATTAAAACACCCTATCATTTACTTCTTTTACAACCCCATCTATAAATATATTAAACAGCCATGGTGACATTACACATCCCTGTCTAAGACCTACTTTCACAGGGAAATAGTCTCCCTCTCTTCTACACACCCTAACCTGAGCCTCACTATCCTCATAAAAACTCTTTACAGCATTTAGTAACTTACCACCTATTCCATATACTTGCAATATCTGCCACATTGCTCCTCTATCCACTCTATCATATGCCTTTTCTAAATCCATAAATGCAATAAAAACTTCCCTAACTTTATCTAAATACTGTTCACATATATGCTTCAATCTAAACACTTGATCTACACATCCCCTACCCACTCTGAAACCTTCTTGCTCATCCACAATCCTACATTCTGTCTTGCCTCTAATTCTTTCAATTATAACCCTACCGTACACTTTTCCTGGTATACTCAGGAAACTTATTCCTCTATAATTTTTACAATATCTTTTGTCCCCTTTCCCTTTATATAAAGGGACTATACATGCTCTCCGCTAATCCCTAGGTACCTTCCCCTCTTTCATACATTTATTAAACAAAAGTACCAACCACTCCAACACTATATCCCCCCCTGCTTTTAACATTTCTGTCATGATCCCATCAGTTCCAGCTGCTTTACCCCCTTTCATTCTACGTAATGCCTCATGTACCTCCCCCACACTTACATTCTGCTCTTCTTCACTCCTAAAAGATGGTATACCTCCCTGGCCAGTGCATGAAATTACCGCCTCCCTTTCTTCCTCAACATTTAAAAGTTCCTCAAAATATTCTCGCCATCTACCTAATACCTCCCTCTCCCCATCTACTAACTCCCCTACTCTGT